AAGCCTAATGTCTGAGAAGTGTAATCCCTTGAACTCTTAAAGAAATATACTGATGACTTTACTCTTTGGTTATACTTTCCTTTTGTGTCCTTTTGGACCATACAGATGGCCCAAATAAATCAATTTATATTTACACAAGCTTGTTTGAGGATCTATTCCTCAGGGGTCACATGGGCTTGGGAGGAGCCTCAGACTCCTTTCTTTTACCAGTTCCATCGATGTGAAGATAAGTCAAAGGTCCTGCTCGACCATGGCTGGTCGACCATGGCTGGCTTCACTTGGAAGAAAGGAGGAAATGTTTCCTATGAGTTGACCCTCCTCTTGTAGGCCAGACACTGGTTCAAGTCCATCTGGTGGGGTCCCCATGGCCTCCCTGAACAAGAGGACAGGTGACCCACCACAAATAACAGTTACAGGACATTTTGAGAGATGTTCCATAGTCCCCTGGAACTTAGTCAACCTTGGAGGGCAAGGAGCAAAAACTGTCCTTTAAGTCCCTCTGACCACATTAGTATAGGCATCAAACTATGGCTGTTAAACATTCAGTAAGGTTAGTTCCACCAGTCTAGTACTTTTAATTATTATGTGCTATGTAGATAAGGCGGGTAAAAAAACCAAATGTTCTCAGATAAACTTTGACTAGATATATATTTTTTTCCTTAAACTAATTGACTAAACTATGACCTTAGGAATTTTAAGATTATGGGTATATTATTTTTGTCTCATCCTTTATATATCACAGCAAATCTAAACAGACCTTCATCACTTGCTTAGGCATTCTCATTTTTTTCTATTTTGGAAAATATCTCCATTCCCATATATATCATTTTAACATCTTTTTTAAAATATTATTTTTTGTTTTTATTTTTTCCTTTAAACATCTTTTACATTCTGATTTTCTTTTTTTTTTTAAAAATATTTATGAGACAAGAACATTAACAAATACATTTTCCATCTGCTGTGAAAATTCTGTTCCTGGGGATACTAAACAATGCTTATTCCCTTTTAAGGTTCTAGTGTCAAACCAATGTTTAAAGTTTTACTGGGGAACCACTGAATTTTCTGAGCTTACTTATGGAGATAATTGAGTGGTTGCTAAAGTGTATGAATGACCTGGGGGTATGCACACTGGAAAGCCTTTATTCAGCATGGGTCAAGCCTTCTCTTCCAGAGTGTATACTTTAGCCCTCCCCAGATTCAGAAGAACATGAGTGATTAGGGCCAAATTACATACAGTTGGCTGGGAAGAGTGGCTGGATACTCTGGAGAGGGTCCAATGACCCTGCTTGCCCCTCTTTTAATGAAGGGGCACAACTGACAACAAGCCCAATTGTGATGATGTTTAGGAATCAGGCACTGCTGAAGTCGTGATGGTGGTAGTTATTTCATGAAGAAGAGACTTCTGTGCAGTATCATCCTATTCGTTCTAGGATCCACAAATGAGGGAGAACATACGTCTTTATTTTTCTGAGTCTGTGTTACTTCACTTAGTAAAACAGTTTCTAGATCCATCCACTTACCTGAAAATTTAATTATTTCATCTTTCTTTTACTGCTGAATAGAATTCCATTGTGTAAATATAACACTCTTTGTTACTGACTTGCAGTTGAGGGGCACTTAGGTTGCTTCCATATCTTACCTATTGTGAAATGAGCAGCAACAAACATGGTTGTACAAGTGTCTCTATAATAAGATGAGTCCTTTGGGTATATACCAAGGAGTGGTAAAACTGGGTCATATGGTAGGTTCATTTTTTAAAATTTTTTTTACATTTTTTTTTGTCTTTTTGAGACAGGGTTTCTCTGTAGCCCCACTTGTATGGGAACTCACTATGTAGACCACTTTTAGATTTTAAAAAAATATTTATTTAATAACCATATAATTAGAAGAGGCATTTCATTACAACAGCATTGATACATTCAATAACAATTTCCAGAGCTAAGACGCATCTCTTTCAAAATTGGTTGTAAATTT